GCTCCAAACTTAGGGCCAAAATATGCTCCTAGGGTATATGCTTAGGACAGGTGATCAAGCAAAAGTTCAGTGGGAGCCGAAATGTAGGTTTTGCAAAATGCATGGGAGCCAAATTAAACAGTTTTGTACTTTTTTATTCTGTACCACAGTTCTGTACCGCAATTTTATTATATAATATAAATATAATATAAAACAAATATTGAATTTTTCTAATAAACATATTTTCACAAAATTGTGGAAATAAAATTGTAAAAATAATAATAAAAAGCAGAAATTAACACTTTCAGCAAGAGCCTCGTGTAGAGCCACATTTGCCCATGTCGGGCTTAGGACTTAGTCCTTAAATATGTCCTTTGCAATCTAAATTTTGCTTAAGAGAGAGAAATTTTTAGTTATGCTTCTGGGAAAACTTTCCAATTAAGTTTTCATAATTTTTATTGGGTGGTTATTGCAACAAGGGATTGAGCATTATTGTGCAACAAAATAATGTCCTTGTTTGCCAAATATGGATGTTTTTCTTGAAGTTTTTCACAAAATTTTGCTATTGCTAACAGTATAAAATAGATATTTTAGATATATGTACAAATGAGGTACTAAATAATAATTACTGCTTCATTTGAATTCAAAATGCAATATTTTCCTCATATCCCACCATATACATTTCTTTCAAAGATGAAGAGCATGCTTTGGTTCTAGAGATGGAGTAGCCTTTGAATCTAATCACTTTTTTTTTACAAATGACATTAGTGTATTATACCTACTTCTTATCCCCCATTATTATTGCCTTAAAATGGAGTTTACTGTGCCTATTAAGAATGAAGTTATTCTGAAGATTTTGTTCAGTAATGTCATATGGAAACCAAATCCAACTACTTGTTTATCTTTCCCAGGTGCTGCAACTACCTAATTACTGTTGATTGGGACACCAAGTTAATAATTTCTTGTCTAAATAGTTTGGCTCAGCTTTCACTTGGGTGCAGGAATTTCAGAATTTTCTTAGCTAAGAAGGTTGTCTAGAGAAATACTTTCTTCAAGATTGAAATTCCCATTCTTAAATTTTGAACCAATGCTGACATTTAAGGTTTCACTGCCATACCCAGTACATATTATCAGTTGGCAATTAAAACCTTGTATCTGCATTTCCTAAAATTTTACAAGACAGCTATAAAAAAACATAGTTTCAAGGGAGCAAGATTTTGAGTATGTGGTGGTGAGTTTTTGACATCATCAGAGAGAGTGTCTAAAAGGTGCAAGGCACTTAAGAGGTTTTGGCAATACATAGAAATTGATTTTACAACACATTAACACAAAAATGTGGTTTTGACTAATTATTGGAGATGAGTTTTGATTGCTGATCAACAATATATAGTTTGTTGCTGTAACTGCAGTATTTTTTTTAAATTCATATAACATTACATGCCTTAAATGTTTTTCTGAGCTCATTTTGATTGACACTGAAAATTTAATTTTTAAAAAATAATCAAAAATTGTTATGAAAATTGTTATTAAAATATTTTCATAAATAAAATATTAGCACTTGAGCTGATTACAAGTTATGCTATAGCATGAAAACAATGCTTAGTAAAAATTAGCTTATGATTCAACCCAAAACAGTAGGTGGCCTAAGTGAAAAGATGTGAACATCCATGCTCCAAAATTTCTGAATACTTTAATGGGACATATAGTCAGTGGCATAGTGTAGTGGGGGCGGCAGGAGTGGCCTTCCCCGGGCAGCAAAATTTTACAACAAATAATAATAATATCTTGTAAAAATTTGAACCATTTCATTTCATATTTTTGTCGCACCTACTATTCAGACTGATTGAAATGAGCACGGAATTTTTCATTACTTATTCTGTGACGAAACTGAATTTTAGTCTTTTAAATTGAGATACCTAAATAAAGGGGCGGCGAAATTTTCCTCTGCCTCGTGCAGCTGATACCCTTGCTACGCCACTGCATATAGTATGAAAATAAATATAGTACTGTGAGAATAAAGTTACTTTTTAACAAATCTTATTGCAATAATTTACATGTAGTATCATAACTATTCGTGCTATAAACCTACATAAATTTGTGGCGTAATAAACACTAGTATTGTGTTTTATTCTAAAGACACATGGCAAATTTTCCATCAAATTCCTTTATTAGTTGAATTTGATGGAAAATTTGCCATGTGTCTTTAGAATAAAACACAATACTAGTGTTTATTACGCCACAAATATAAAACAGGACACGGTTTCAAAAAGAAAATCAACAAATCTACATAAATTTACTTCAAGAAGGCTGTGCATTTCTGTTGGATATAATTATTTGCTAATTTATTTTCAATCATTGCTTCAATCTTCATACCACAGTATAGAGAGCCCTGACAGAGATGTACCATAAGATTAAAGATAGAATACCCTTATAGATCTTCCTTAAAATAGTATTCCCTTATGTGGACTGCTGTTCTAAGAAAGTCTCTGTTATGGCATTCAATAAACGAACTTCTCTACCATCTGTTGTTCTGTTAACAAGAATCTCCACTACATTTTACATGTAGTGGAGATTCTTGTTAACTTCATTTGAATTCAAAATGCAATATTTTCCTCATATCCCACCATATACATTTCTTTCAAAGATGAAGAGCATGCTTTGTTCTAGAGATGGAGTAGCCTTTGAATCTAATCACTTTTTTTTTACAAATGACATTAGTGTATTATACCTACTTCTTATCCCCCATTATTATTGCCTTAAAATGGAGTTTACTGTGCCTATTAAGAATGAAGTTATTCTGAAGATTTTGTTCAGTAATGTCATATGGAAACCAAATCCAACTACTTGTTTATCTTTCCCAGGTGCTGCAACTACCTAATTACTGTTGATTGGGACACCAAGTTAATAATTTCTTGTCTAAATAGTTTGGCTCAGCTTTCACTTGGGTGCAGGAATTTCAGAATTTTCTTAGCTAAGAAAGTTGTCTAGAGAAATACTTATCTTCAAGATTGAAATTCCCATTCTTAAATTTTGAACCAATGCTGACATTTAAGGTTTCACTGCCTGTTAACAGAACATATCAGGAATACAGAAGAATGCTTTCTGAAGATCAGAAGACTTTTGGTGATATAACCAAATGCCCTATTGAAGTAAATACTGAGCTCAGAAGAGGCCATTGTCTTTGGAGAAAATGTCTGTAACCTTCTTTTTAATGAGTGACACGTGAAGTTCATGGTGGAGAAGCATCCATGTTCTTGAATTTCAGCTTTTTAAAGGTTTGTTCATTTGGACACATTCCAATTGGTTCCTATCTCCTTTTCATCTCCTGATTGGTCCCTTACTTGTTGCCAAGGGCTGTTTAGAACTGAATTTGAATCATGGAAGAGGTCAACATCAATGTTTAATTTGACATAGTATCCCCACACCAGCTATAGATGTTTATTGAATTTTTGGAATCCCACCTGTAACTCAAATGAAGTGTTTTCTTTCTTGTCACTAAAAGTTTCTGATTGCTGTTACATGTCATTTTTATGATACAAGACACTTTCACATTTTCTGTTCTCTGGCATGAAAGTTCAAGTTTTTACTTTGATAGTCTCCCAAATTCTGGAATGTGAGATGAAAATTCTGGAGCTGGAATGTGAGCTCTTACTTGGGGTCTCACATAAGTTGTATTTTTATTTTATTTTTTGATACTTTTCAGTTCACTGAATAAGAGTTAACTCACTGAAATTAAACTTAAAATCAAAAGAATTAATCATGATTATTTTATTAAAGTAAAATTTTAGGTATTTCTTTCTTCAAAAATTTGTTGTGTTTAACAAATTCATAACCGTTCCATTAATAATTTTCTTGATTATTGATTCTATTTTAGACAAAATACTTTTTGTTATTCGACCCAGCACAGTTATCATTTAAACTAAATAACAGATACTCCACTGAATGAGAAAGTTGGTACTGTTATCCTTCGCTAAACGTTAGCAATCCTTTTCTGAAATTAAGTCGTTTTGCAGAAAAACGTTAACCAGTATCCTATTTTCCATTATTTTAAGTCAATGGATCTCAACCGTTGTTCAGCGAGACTTAGGTGTTCCGCGAAAAAAGATTTTCAGGCTTTTATTACAAATTTATTCCAATGTACTACAACATATTACTTTATTCGTAGACAATTCCATGTTTCTATTTTATTTAATACAGTAAAGTTTAGTTTATTGCTTCATTGTTTCGTAAGAAATAGTAAACACGGAATTGTTTATCGATTTTTAAATATCAAAAATTGATAGAACAGTGGTTCTCAACCACTGTTGTAAAAGTTAAAATATATTAATAGTGGCAACCCAAAACTCCTAACTCTAACTAATTTCTAAAACCTTAACTAAAATAACAATATAATCTCTATATACATATATATAAATACTATGTAATGTTAGTTGTGTGTGTATGTATGTATGTATATATACATATATACAATAACTCATATATATATATATAGTTAGTGTTGTAGTTAGTTCTACAATACGCTAGACCTGTAAAGAATCGATCTACAAAACGAAAATTGAAACTACGACAAGTAATGAAAGAAAATGATTTCCCTATAAACACTTGGATCTACAACACGTGGGGATGTAAAGGTGTGGTTATAAAAGAAAAAAACGAAAAAACATTTCGCAATATCAGAAGAGAAGCTTCGAGATCTGGCAACATTGAAACAGAAGTTTCGAGAAGGGGAAAAAAGAAGGACCACGTGTTAACGACAGAAATCAAAAGGCGGTAAGAGAAACTTTACATATATATATACTGTTTCTTATATATATATATATATAGGGGAGACCGGGGCAACTTCGGCATGCGGGGCAAGTTTGTCAAGCGCTTTTTTTTAAAAACAAATTAAAAGGAGACTTTGGTTATAGGTTAGGCAGTTGAGTTTTATTGGTGGCTTGTTGAGTGTAGTGNTACCGTAATTGTAATTCCGTTAAGTCTAACAACGCATTTAGAATCTCTAATCGCTTTAAAAAAGGTTGTCACTACAATCTTTAAAGAAGAAAAAACAAGTCATGTGATTTTTCTCATCTATTTCCTGTCACCTTGAGATATTTCCTGCTGCTGTGATATCGATTATAACGTCACAATGACGTCGGTAAACACACAGCTGTTACGATATAATACGCTCAGACACCGCTGGTGAAATAAATTGGCAGAAGTTTTTAAGTTTGCTGTAGACAGTTTATCAGGAATGGCGACTATTTTGCGTAAAACACTGATTCCTAGGCAAAGAATTGTGAACGCTGTACAAGGTCATCTTTGTCCCTTACAGGTGAATAATTGTTTTTAAATAGTTTTTAGTAAAGAAAAAAGTTTTAAATGAGAAATTAAAACAAGTGAAAGCTTTCTCGAAAAAGTTTGAATCAGCTTTTCTATAATATTAAGTAGAAAATATTTTAATTTTTACTTAGTTTCGAGTTTTAATTTCTTAACTTAATATTTGTTTTTTTTCAACCCTATAATAATAGCAAGTTTTTTATGCCAAATATTCAATATTTTAGCATTAATTAATTATCACCATTATTATAAGAAATTTTGTTTTAGATAGCAAAAATATAACAATTAACTTTTCATACAGATTTTTTTCTATAATCGATTACGTCACAACATTTTACTACTTATCTCGATATTGCAAGAAACAAAGAAAACTTATAAAAAAAATTGTGTATTGAAACTTTCAAAAACTTAATGAAAGTATAATTCTAAGAAAAGTAATCGTTCTCAGAATTTTATAATTATGATTACTGGCGACTTTAATTAATTCGCGTCATCGGTACCATAAAAAATGTGTATTCGTTATTGTATTAAGTTCATGGTTAGCTGATTTTTAATAATTGTTATTTCTTTAAATAGTTATTTTATAAATCTTTATAAAATTTTTAAAAATTAATGATTTTTCTTTTTCAAAACTGTACTGATAGTATAATTTTGAATTATAAATTGTTAATATATCGATATGCGAAATTATAGTTTTTAAATTAAAAATTTATTTTTTGAAAATTATTTCTTGTTAGTCATTGACATAGTTATACATCAAGGAGGAGTCGTTGGAATCGAATAAAACTTATATTAGTGCAAACGTAATGACGATGGTAATAGGAATTACAATAACAATTCTTAGCAAAGTGACAGTTTCCGTGGAACAATGGTACAATAAAAAAAAAATTAATAACTTGTAAAACCTATACATATGGCGATTATGGTCGGGCATGGAGGCCTACGGACTACCTACTAGCCTGAGACAGATTTGTTCATAGATGTTGTGCTGTACTGTACCTGCCGTTCCAGATCCCTCACACTTGTCCATGGCTGAAGGTGGTGTCCCGTCTAGTCCCACAAATGTTCGATGGGCGAATAATCTGGAGGGTTCCCCATCAATGTGACGGACACATTCCTGGGGAACCCTACCCATATGTGGCCGACGACATTATCTCATTGGCAGATACTGTTTGCAACCGTGCCATTACAGGCAATATATGAGGACTTATGATTTTCTGAACGTACAGTACCAGGATGACCAAATTGTCATATAAAATGACTCCCCAAACCAGCACGTCAACAGTGGGAGCAATGTATCGCTCAATAGTAAAGACGGGATTGAAACGCTGACCAGTGGTCCTCCACACACTAATACAGAGGTCGTCCATTCCTAAATAATTGGGATTCGTCACTAAAGACGATACGTTGCCTATCCGTAGCAGTCCACGTGTGTCTGGCATGGCACCACTGCAAACATAACACGATGTTGGATGCTACTGTCAGAACGCGTAATGGTCGCCGAGCATGCAAGTTTGCTTTTTCTACTCATTGCCACTGGTACGGGGCTCACAGCTGTCTCTGATTGGTGGACAAAGATACTATTGAAGCTGTCCGTGCTTATATTAGATTATGCTGGTAATCTGTTTGGGGTCTACCTGCCTTATATGTATGCCCTGCCTGACCGAATACTTGCTGACGGGTCAAAACAGTCTAGATCAGTGTTTCTCAACGGGGGCGATATCGCCCCCCATGTGGGCGATTTTCCATGTTGAGGGGGCGATTAGTGACAATTTATATTTTGGGGGGCGAAAAACAATTTTCTGGGTGATATAGTAAAACATTATATTAAGAATAATTAGATATTTTATTCGTTATATCGTACAATAATTAAAGAAATAACATTATACTAGTCACTAGTCTATTCAATGCAGTACGAATTTGGCATTGCCTTGGTCCTCGGCTTCGGAATTTTGAAGTGAAGGGGGGCGATGGTTCGTTACAGGTTGAGAAACACTGGTCTAGATGATGGGAAATTAGGTGAATTGGTCATCCTGCTTCCCTCAGATCGATGTGCTGCCTTTGTCAGTTTGTCATATAGTCATGGCTGACGTTCGAAGACTTCAAACAACAGGTACCCTGAAAATTTTGAACACAATGAGTCATTGTGAGCGATTTTAAGGCACTCTGGTAACATTACCTGGCATGTAATCGGATTAGAAATGTAATCATTTACATACCTGTTTAAGACATAGCCGTATGCCGAGTTTTGCAGTAATTGGACAGTTCTATTTGTAAGCGTAACTGCATTTTGTCAACGAATATATAGTTACCAGTGATAATACAGTATATTACTATTATTTAGTTAAATGTAATGCCATTTTATTTAAGTACCCTTGTATCTAAATATTTAGTAAGAGAAATTAATATATTTAACCTCAGTTTATGTGGTCTTAAATTTCTTAAAAATTAATACAATAATTAATAAAAAAATATCTTAAAAAATAAATATTTGAATAGTTGAGTTATAAAATTTATTTATAAAATTGTCATTCCTAATATCAAAGTAAGAATTAATAATAATAATTAAAATATTGAAAATGTAGAATTTCGTTAAAAGACAAAAACCAATAAAAAATTGATTTTATTAATCTTACATATCAAATTATTAATTTAAATAAATTCAATTGAATCAGAAATATTTATATTATTTTTACATTAGAATTACTATTCCTATAAATGAATTTCTACATTTTGTTCAGTTTTTAAATAATGACTTGATATAACTATTTTTTTTTTCTTTTATCTATTTATTGTCGCATTAATAATCTGTATTGAAAGTTATAAAGTGTTAACGTCATGAATGACGTACTTTTATTTTTGATTTTTGTATCCAACGACTGTTATCAGTTAAGATTATCGAATGATTGAAGAAAAATGGTTTCTAGAAATTTATAAAAGAAATCATATATTTCAATAATGCAGTCTTAATTTGTGCTTTTTTAAAATAGTTTTATTATAATTAAAATTTAGTTATTGGAAGGATTGTTTTGATTTGTTTTTAATTTCAAAAATTGTTAATTGAGAAATAAAATACTTAAAAATTATTTACATTTGATATCCAATGATAAATTATGGCCTTTCTCTTTGGATTTTGACTCCTCGTTCCACAAAATTTGAACATGAGAATGTTTTAGATCTTGTATAAAATATATTTTTAAATCATATCTAGAAAAGTACATAATAACCGATAAAAAAACAAATAAGATATTTTATGTATTTTATTTTCAGTGTGGAAAAATGTTTTTTCATTTGATTTCTATCTAAGTAGAATTAACACACACTGACTTGCACTTAATACTACGAGTGTAATTTTACACTCAGTTAAGCTTTAATTAATAATAATTAAAATGTGAAAAATATTGCAAAATAAATATTTAAACAATCTGTTTTGATTGAAAATAACCCCATTAAATTTGTTTGTTAATTCATAAATACAATATTTAGTGCGAATGCACCACATGATTTGATAATTATTCGAAATATCTTAATAATATACAAACCTTTTTTTTTAATGAATGCTGAAGATAGTGTGCTAGACATCCTTTGAAGATGATAAAACTATTAATTATTTCAATTTGAAAAGCAGTTAAAACGTGCTTAAAAACATTTTTTATGTTGTAGGCTGCCATTTTGTTGGATATAATTTCGAAATTTGCGTTTTGTTTAAACGATTCATCGGAATTTATTTACACTATTTTTTTTAATACGATAAATTGTTTAAACCTATAATTAATCATCGTTTATTACGTTTATTTTTATATCTTACAAATAAATCTGCGATTATGAATTTTAAGATTGCTTTCTTTAAATAGACAGACATATTTAAAAAATATATATATATACTGTAAATTTTGAGGGTATAGCTTAGATAATCTTTCTAAATCTTTCATTTGTTTTAGTCGTACATTTAAATGTTTCTATTGTATTTATTATGGACGAATGCCAGGATTGTTGTTTTTGTGTTAAATGTTAAAGCTTTCTGAAGTATTGTTGTCAATAACATTTATTAAAATCGTAAAAGTCTTACAATAGTAACAAAAAGACAATAGTCATTAATCTCGTTTTTCTCTTTCTATTCTATCAATTCAATAAGTCTCACGAATTTTATATACTTAATAACTTACACGAATTTTATATTATTTGTTTGGAGAAAGTTGTTGTTTGATAACATACTAATACTCCAGTAAGAAAATGATTTTATACTGTATTTAAAATTACAGATTCAGTGAATATTTTACTTCAGGTTAATTGAACATATTTTAATATTTTCTTTAGAGAAAGAGAAATTTCTGAACATTTTTAAAAGTGATCATAAACGTTAATAATATCGCAGTTAATAAACTTAAATTTTTTTAAAATAATTGAGTAATTAATATGACTTCGTTATTAAGCTTATGTAATTTCTTTTTTATAAAAGAAATTTCGAAAGTTAAATATATTTATACAGAGTGCAACAGTTGCATTTCAATATATAATCAGCAAATTATTTTTAAGCTGCTGTAGTTTTCTAAATTTTAATATAAATATAGTAACTTATGATATTGTAGTAACAGATAAATCACTTTTAAAAGACTAAATATTGTATATTCTATATATATATATATATATAGAATGCCAAATTCAAATATCTTCTTCAAAGTAAACTCGTTTAATGTTGATTAATTATTGGCCAATGTAATAAAATTTTAATTCACAAAAAATAAAAAAAAATGAAGAAAAATTTTTACTAAATGGAAATCACTTTTAGGTTTACATCAAATTATCTTTATACATTTATACTTTTAAATATTGAATGATTTAATTATCTATTATAGTAGTTTTATATTATTTTTGGTCGAGTCTTGTTATAAAGTCTTGTATTTTCTGCAAAATTTTGCGATCCCACAAATTTTGATGTCTGGGAAATTTTATTTTTTTCCTCATTTAATATAAGCACGTTAGGTTTTTTTAAGAAAATCAATAAGATGCAAAATGGTTTAAAATGGATATTTGTTGAAACGAGGATGATTCAATATCAAAAATACAACCAATTGAAACTTTGAACCTTGCCAATACAGCCAAATCATTGTTTAATTTTTACATTTGATGTCATTAAAACTATTCTATGCTAATAAACACAGAATTTATACTTACTTGATGTAAAGCATATTACGGTTTATTCCATATTTCTGGACAAATTGTTTTCGCTTAGTCTATATATATATATATCTCAAAACTTCCATAAAAAATTTGTTTGCATGTACTTCTCAAAAGATTATTTCTATTTACATCTAGTCCATATTTTTCTTTTGCTGTTATCGAAATAAAAAATACCATCTTCAATCGTACACAATTCTTGAAGAAAACAAAGTTTTTTAGATAACTTTATATTGTATAATTCTAATAATTAGGTACTTTAATTTATGTAATTGTAAAATGCTATAAAAATTTGATTTTAACTGTTTTCCTTAAAGAAACTTTTTCAGATTAAATAGATTGATAAAAATTAGGATCATTGATTGATTAAGAGATCATCGTTAATACAACGCAAACTAAAAAAAACATCCGTTATATTTGCGCTATTAATTGTATTATTAATAACATCATATTTGAAATGAATTATTATTTATAAATCATAAAGAATATATAAATTTCTAGTTACACTCTAAGTACCATCAAAAGTAAGTGCTATTTGAAAGATGTAAAATGTTATATGATATAATATCACATAATATTAAACTTAAGAAAAAGGCATCGAGTTCATTTTGTGCTGTTTTTTTTTCTTTTTATTAAATGTTTCGGGTATTTTTGCTTCTATCTTTTGAAACATTTTGAAGATTGTGTTGAAATACTCTGAAATGTCTCTAACAGCAATTATACGTTGAGAAATTTTTTAAACATGTAAATAAAGTCATCATCAAGTGAAACCTTTGGATGTTAGAAGTGCTGTTTCGAAATTCCCAAACTCATCTGGAAGTTTACAGAGAAGAGAGAGTATTTTACTTTCAGTTGTTTTTATAATACAGTTTAAAATTTTGTAGCTTATTAAATTAATTAATAAGCTATAAAATTTAACTCTGTTCCGGATATGTCGGATCCCGCCCCTCTTCATCCGGCCGCCCTCATTGTGGGTCTGGCTGAACTCGTGTTAGGTTTGATACTGCCCACGGCGGAAGAAGTAAAAATCTCATTTATTACTAAATTAAATAATCGACCATTTTTATTTCAAATATTTCGAATATATTTGAATCAGCAAAATACATAATACGTTAAACTGCTATTTTAATACATTATTTATTGATATTTAATTATATATTACGACGTACAAAGATTGTCGTGTAATTGAAGCAAATATATTGAATATATTGTTCATAATATGAAATTTAAAACTAGCATGAATATAGTTGCTAAGGGGAATTGCATAATACATATTAGATAATTCCCTTATGTAACAATACTTAAAGTCAATTTCCTGTGGCTTACGTACTCTTGTTTGAATTGTCTGCTAAAACTACAAACTTGTAAATTCGTAAATTTGTTTCTAAATATAGCCTATATTTAATAAAAGTGAATTAGAAAAGAAAAAAAATGTTTTTATTTTAATGATACACTTTTGAATGTGTTTTTATTTCGAAAATCGGTTTTTTGAAGTTTTTTTTTCTAATAAGACTATAAGAATTTAATCTCACAACGTACAAAGTAATCCCAGTTACAAAATTCATAAAGATAAATATATTTTGTAATAATAATTAATTAATTAACTATAAAAATTATATATTAAGATAACTGTTTTCCCCGCCTTAAAAAAGGAACCGAATTTAGACAATCAGTTTTACCTAATGATTTTTTTACTAGTAATTATTTTCGTTTTATTTGAAAGATTTTACTTTTATGTAAATTGATATATTAAACTGACTTGTAAGCCAAATAAAGTACTGCTACGGAGAGAAGTTAAAAAAACGTCGTTCGTAAACAATAACCTTGAAACTGTTATTTATTCAGGTTATTTAATTCGAGACAGTTTTTCTTGGAAATCTTTCTCCGTACTGTTTAATATCAGTATATTAAATTCTTAATAGATCGTAACATTATTTGAAAAATCGAAGAAATGAAATACTAAGACAAACTTATAATTTTGGAAATTAAAATGCTTTTTATAATAACGAAGTATTCGAATAAATTTTCATATATATATTGATTAATAGTTTTTGCGTTTTTATCAGTATTATTTACATAATAATAATAATAATTTAAAATGTCTTCAGGATATTGATCAAGGACTAAATGATTTTATTTATATTTTAATGAAAAACATTTTAAATAAAAAATTAATAATTTTTATTTAAAGAATTAATTCGTTTAAATTTGGAAACAATAGTAAAGTATATTTATATTATCATACTTTAAAAAAATTACAAAGTTTATCCTGAGTCATAAAATCTATAACATTTAAATTTAATTATGAATAATAGAATAAGTGTGAAAAATATTTATAAGTAGTATGTATAAAATATATCTATATTTAGAGTCATGCCCTTTAATTTAACTGTTCATCATTACAGTTGAGATATCTAACCAGAAATATCATTGTTATAATCTTATGTTTGTGCTCATTTGATAACACTTACTAAAAATATTACACTTTGTATATAAATAGTGTAAAAGAAAAATATGAAGTTTGTCTTTTTTTGTTTTTAACAGCTTATTATCAAATTATTTTCAGAATTACTGCAAAGATTCTGTTAAAAAATATTTAGATTCTACTCTTAGTTATTTGATTTTTGGAATAGCATATATTATTATTTACTAGTGTTGCAACGAATAGTATATTCAGCCAGGAGTGTGGCTGAATAGCCGAATATTCGGCCAAACTATTCGGCTCGATTAACACACGTACGAAAATTGGCGCACAAACTGCATTATGGCAAAGACCCTGCTCTCTATTGGCCTGCTGTCACTACGCTTCGCCAATCGCGTTAATTCTTGACAGTTGTAGCGGACAGACAAGAGTGTCATGGCAGTATGTGATAAACGATGATATCAAATGTGGATAACAATGAAATGACCTACACGTGTAAATAACGGAAGAAGAACAGAGAAGGACCGCAAAGAAAAATGTGAAAATAAATATGAAATTGAGTAGATAACATAATCGAACAAGTTGAAGCAGCTTATTGGCACGAAATTTGCGGCCGTCAATGCCAAACAATTGTTGTCATAGACTTTGGAAAGCTAAATGCTTGTAATGAAAGTCACTTAGCTTGCACGGGTGAAAGCCTGGGACCGTTCGGGCTACCAAGCTGTCTCAAATCTGTGAAATCATAACTGTGACATACCAATGTCCTATCTGTCTCTTTTCTCCGTTATCGCCAGGCTATGAGTCATGTAATTATAAAATGGAAAAACTATGATGGAAGAGTGACGAATCGAAAGTACCGTGAGCGCGTATTATGATGTATGCATAGGCATGCGTGGATTAGAGCGATAGAGGAAAGAGAAAGGGAAGAGCAAAGACGAGTGCTTAAGAAGAAGGATAGGCAGGGTCAGACCCTCAGATATGTGCAACGATTCTTGAACGAATAGGTGTGTACGTGTGCTGATCTTTGTAATTATAAATTGTGAATACTTGTGACTAATATTATTTTTTTTTTTATTTTGTACATGTTACAAGTTATAAATAAACATAAACAAACAACACTAACCCGATAACATTAAATCTAAATACCAAAATGATTAATTTACTGTGTTTTTGTTATTTCTTACTCCTGTTTCTAGGTATTCGGTATTCGGCTGAATAGTGATTAAATATTCAGTATTTGGCCGAATAGAGAAGAATAGGCCCGAATACCGAATAGTAACCGAGTATTTGTTATATCACTATTATTTACATTATGATTTTAGTAATAAATAGATTTATTATTATTTCTGCTCTGTTAAATATATTTCTATTTAGACAGTTTCTTTTAATCATATTATCATTTAAACTATTGATTTTACTTTTAGAAAACTAATGATCCCTCGTGTCAGCGAAATCCAGATGATATTACGTGTAAAGTTTCTCCATGTCGAGTCCCTAACTTTGGACTTCTTTTTGATATTGATGGTGTCATTGTAAGGGGTAGAAAAGTATTACCCTATGCAGTAAAAGCTTTTCAAAAATTAGTTGATGAAGAAGGACAGTTTAGAGTACCAACTATTTTTGTAACAAATGCTGGAAATTCCATGCGACATCAAAAAGCTCAACAATTAACAAATTGGTTGGGAGTAGAGGTAAATTAAATTTTTTAAAATATTGCTAATATATTTTAATATTATTTTATTAAACATTTTACATAAATGTTGTTTTAATATTTACTTTTGTTTATTTTTCAATTAAAAATAATAATGTAGTAATTTAGAAGGTTTGATTTATAATGGAAATTTATTGATATGATCTAATATATTTTTATTATTTTACTTATTGTGTTTGAATCTTATAACTGATGAAGCCTTAAATAAATAGACAAAAGCATTTTTAATGGCAAAAAGCTCATAATGTTGTTCTGTGTGTTATATTAAATTAGATCAGTTTATAATGTTAGGATTTTACAGTTTTTGTATTTTGATGTGATCATTTATTATAATTTTCATACATTAGTTTCATGTAATCAATGATACACAAATTCAAAATAAAACATTTAATAAGTACTTTCACATGTTACACTCAAGTTTCTTTAGGATGTTTTAGAGAATATAAATTTTTTTAATGTTAAACCAGATATTTAGCATTATTTGGTATTCAGGTTACTCAGCCATAAAGTCAGTATTTGGTATTCAGCTGAATACTAAACAAACATATTTGGGATTTGGACCAATACTTTCTCAAAGTTAAGCTAATCAGCCGAATAATCTCATTTTAGTTTGTAAAGAGAGAAAAGAAAGGGAAAAATAGATAAAACACAAATTATTCTCAGGAAGCTAGTGTTATAAAACCGGTACACTTACCAACGTTAGTGATGAATTTGGAAAAAGTTGAAAGTTATTCAAGTAACCTTTTGGTCAAATGTATAAACTATAAGGATGCCACAGTATTACCTAAAGTGTTAAAATAATGTGTATAGTAATATCAATTAAAGTATCAACTGAATATATAGAAAGTGAATGGAAGAAAATTGAAGACATCTTGTTTTAAATTTTCTCCCATTAATTTTCTATATATTCAGTTGACACTTTAATGGTATATATACAGGATGATCATAAAGTACTCCTATTCAACACTATCTGGAGTGATACTATAGCAGTCCAAATGCAAATAAATTTTGTATGCTGTTTCTGGACACATGGAAGAGATTTAGTTCAAAACTCATCACTATGGGACTTGTGGAGGCAAAGAAGTGCATAGTTGATGCATAATGAACACATGCTATGAGTAATAAACTGCCTACAGCATAGGAAATACCATTTGTATTACTGCAGATCAGCAATAATGGTCATCACTGACTGAATGTGTCTTTCTTGTGAAGCTGTTTTATGAAAACAATGCCAATGCTGCAAATGTGCTTTGAGAGTTATGACACCTTTGAGATCCATGTTTCATCACCAGTTATGATCTCTGAAACACACTTTGCTTGCCCATTTTCAAATAATGTAGTAGCACTAGTCCACACAAGCTTCCTCCTGCTGGTCTGATACGGAATGTGGAACCCATCACATTCCTGACAAATAGCTCTTTGTGTAAGATCTTGTGTATTGCTGCTGATCTAATGTCTAGACCGAACTTTCTCCTTGTATGTTAATTGTGGATCTTCTCTTACCATAATCTTGACACAATTTACAGGTTCTGTGATTAACATTGCAGGATGACTGCTTCTGACCTCATCTTTTAAAGTTATCCTTCTGTATCAAACTCACCAAATTACCAAAACATCTGTTTATAGGATAGAGCAATCTGAGAAAGTGTCTTATAATGATTAAGCTTCATTTAAACCCAATTTTGAATTTATAAAACATCACATCTGAAAATTATTGTGAATCAATTCCATTTCAAATGTCTGGCAAATTGCATTAGATACATTTTCTATCATTTTAGAATGGTAAGAGTTTGCAAGAGTGAGATATTGTAGGCAACCCATTAAACAAGAGTTGCTTTGCTAAATGTAGCAAATTGCAATCTAAATGTTATGTACTTTTTTCATATCTATCATAACATATAATTTTGTCAGTGTAGACCCAGTACTATAAACTTCTATACTTTTAGTACTTTTTAAATAATTATATTTACTAATATATAAAACTTTTATTAAATAAAAATAAAGTTAAATTTATTTGAGAATCAATTTTTTTTACTTTAAATACTTTTCTAAAATTAATATTGATTTTAGAAAAGATCAATCAATAAATATCTATCAATATATTTATGATAGAAAAATATTCTATTACAGTACTATATAATTTTTGGAATAAAAACTTAATATTTTTTACAAAATAGTATTTATATTTTTAATGTATAGCATACATTTAAATTAATTTAATCTTTAGATTACAGAAGACCAAGTGGTAATGTCACATAGTCCTCTTCGAATGTTTAAGCAATTCCATGATAAACATTGCCTTATATCTGGACAAGGACCAATTATTGATATTGCTCATGGGTATGATTTATTTTCTGTAAATAAGAATTTTTAATTTTATATTTAATAAAAGTGCTTGCTAATAATAATAGTAATAATGCAGTGGCATAGCGAGGGGGTTGCAAGGGGATGTATTATGCACTGGGTGCCACTTGCAGAGGGGTGCCCAAATGGTCTTCAAGACAAACTATATGTGTTTCTGGAGAATGGAGGGGATGTCAATAAAGTGTCGGCCCCCGGGCGCCAGTTATGTTTGCTACGCCACTGTAATAATGGAAAAGATCTTTAATTCTGAATAACTTGATATTTGATGCAAGTTCAACAAACAGTACAAGCTATTGCATCTCATGTACATAACTTGTTAATAGCTGTGTTTTTATTAATTTTCTGAAAGTAGTTTTTTTTAGAAAATTAATTTAGTTAACAAATATATTTCATTGTTTTTTTAAAGTTTTATATTTCATAAAGTGTTTTAACACATTAACAATGTTTTGGCACAAAAGTGTAACATGTATTTGCTAAACTTTCCAAAAAAGCCAAAAACCATCTGAAAAATCAGATTTTGCAATAAAGTAACTTTAATTTGTAACAAAGCATAATTTAACAAAAAGAGTGAAAAAGATTTCAGAAAATGCTTATATTTTCATTTGCCTTATAAAACTTTCAGTCATATTGTTCATTCCATCAGCTGTCATATAGGAAACCTATCCAACTTCAATGTTTTTTCTGTTTTTACAAGACTGGAGAATAATCGTTGTTACAGTGATTCTATTTAAATTTTGCCAAAAGAAGTTGTCACAATAGAGAACAAGATGTTTAGTTACATTTGTAGTTATCAGTCCTTTTGATATAACTGTATAATCAAGTCAAAATTTCATTACTCTCTTTTTCTTTGAACTTCTCTTGCATGTATCAGTAATCTTGTGTTAGCTTATCTTTGTAGACTGTGAAGCTATGTACTTATTATTTCTTCATTTAAGAGCCTGCACAATAGCAGGCTCTTAAATGGTTTGTGGGTTATTGTTCTTCTGCTGAAACATAACCAATATTTCAGAAAATTAAGTAAGTTAACAATATAATTCAAAGAAGTAAAAAGATGTAATAGCCAACATAAAATAATTTCAAAATTTACTTTTAAAAATAATTTGGTATACTATTGATTTTAAAATAGTTTCCCTTCTTTTTCTATTACTTTAATTAAGTGCAAAAATCAAACATCAAATTACTATCACATTCATGCTCTTATGTTATTTAACTGATTAGTATAGCATATGATTAGAATACGAGTGTATTCTGAGAGGATTTTATGATATCAATATAAATATAGTCAGAAGTTCAATGAATATGCAAGTAAACTATTGAGTTTTTAAATAGAAAATTAAATATATATTGAAGGGACCAAATTTTATTTAGTAGATTTTAATTATTCAAAGATTGATGATGTTAAATCAAATCAAATTCTTATTGTCATTTAGGGAAATTACTATCATGGGGAATATTTAGGAAAAAGCACAAAACTTTTAATAAATACAAAATGAAAACAAGAATATCAAATTATTAGAAGCATTCATTACCAGAAGTAGAGATTGGTTTACTAAATAAAAAATTACTTCATGACATATTTCTTAATTGGCATCAAAGATCATCTTAGTATATATTATGGTAACATAGTTAAAAAATTATGGTGCTTTTCATGATATACATACAACCAGTTATTCTTTTCTTTTTCAACTTATTCACATTCAAAAATTGGAAGTGCAATTCTCTCTACTACCACAAGACAACATTGATTAACAAAAAGCAATTTTTGATTTTATATCTTAACTTGGTTTTACATAGTATTAGTTGTAACATAATTGACAAATATTAAAATGCCTGTTAAGTAGACCATTATAGAACAAATAAATGCCTAGATACTTAATTTCATTAGCAACATTAATTTTATTCCTGTTTATGAATCCATTTATACTACCTAATTTTTTTGCCATTCTTAAATATAACATTTTTTCACTTTCAAATATCAATCTTAATTTCATTTTGTTACAAAATTTAGAAAACGTATCAATTTGTTGTTGCAAATATAACTGAGAAGAAGAAAACAAAACCACATCATCAATGTATTAAATGTTAACAAGCCAAGTTGAATATGATCATATAAATCAGCAAAATAATATCAAATATCATGAATATATACAAAAAAGGTACAGACTAAGAGAATCACCTTGTGGTAAACCATATTTATTTTGATTTCTTGAAAATAACATCCATCCTGACATATCACAAAATAATCAGTCTTTTGATGTTAATATAAAATATACCAGATTTTGTTAATACTTCTTTAATAACATTTTCAATGATACAAATCATCATCCTCACCATCATCAGGAAATAGAACTAAAGTTTCATTTTTTTTTTTTTTTACTTATTACATAAATTTAAATTTTGTAACTTCTCAAATAAAATATTAATTAAAACAGAATCACTTGCTCTAGACAAATCTGCCAAAAAAAAGCCAACAGTCTGTGTTTCTTTTTACTCAAATGTTACTGAATTAAATTAGCTAAAATGTATAAAGCTTCCAAAACATATTTTAAAATAATGATATTACAAATACATATTAAACAAAGTTAATCAAATTCATTTCAGATTAGGATTTACTAGAGTTACCACAGTAGATCAGTTACGTAATAGTTTTCCAACTTTGGATGCTGTCGATCATAAAAGGAGATTAGCATTGGTAAGAATGTTTTCCTTTTTAATCACTGAAAATTAAAGTAAAATATAGTTCTTCTTTTTGCTGTTACATTTGTCATTCAGTTTTAATATTTTATTGATTTCTATAAAATCTTAAAATTAGTATTTTAATTTTTTCTTATTTTATATTGTTAACATTTTGAATATATTTAATATTTTAAATATTTTCAAAATGCAATTGAATTTTTTTTAAAGATTTAAATTTTTATAATTCTAAATTTGAAATGCTATTGAAAACAGAATTATTTAAATCATATTTATAAATAATTCAGCAAAACTAGAAACTGTTTCAGAAAAATCTTGAAGATATTACTATAGTTTTTACTACATAAATATGTTAATAGATGCTGATTTAAATAATTAAAGTTTTAAAAAAAAAATCAAAAACATTTTTGTAAACTTTTTATTACAAATGAATTTTAATATGAAATAAATTTTTGAAAGCAGTATGATGTCTTCAAAAATTTTCCTTACAAAAGATTTTCTGAATATTATGCAGTTTCTAATTTTATTTCAGTGAAATAACAACTAAATTATAAATTATTAGATATTATATAACAAATCAAAGTAATATATATGGTGAAAGAAGAATTATAATATAGCAATATTCAATATTAATTTAAAATAATTATAATATATATTTAAGTTCAAGATAATATTTAGTATATAATTTTTAATTTTATGAAGGTTCATATGTAACATGCATATATGGTACATATGTAATAGATAGATTTAAATTTTATATATCATTATAAAGAAAAATATAGTTTTCTGTTAAATATTAGTTTTTGTTTTGGAATTTTTATTTCTTTTGAAATAATCTAAAGTAGAAAATAAATTCTAATTAGATGGATATAAATTTGATTAAGTTGATCATTAATACTCAGATATTGAAAAAATTAGTTACCTAAAATTAACCTTAATATTTATATTTTGATACTATTGTTTGCATTATTTTTTCAATTAATTTCTGATTTAGAAATTTGATTTTAAATGTGAATAAATTAAAAAAATCTTTTCAACAAATTGTTTTAAGAAGTCCACATCAATGATAGGATTGAGCTGATTCAGTTTGAATTGTCAGAAATTTTTATGAATTTGCAGAATTGTGTAAAATTTTAATGTTACAAAGTTTACAAAAAATTGTATTTTAATGATTAAATTATTTAGTAAAATAAGTTAATAAAACATTTTGATTCTTACAATGTCACTAAATTTCAAAAAATTCATTTTTTTCATATTCAATATTTTATGAATGATTATTCAAGGTTGTTGGTGATTATTTCTTTGTTTTATAATTTTTTCTTTAATTTTTATTATTTATATCTGTAAAACTCAATTATTGTATATTTCCTAACATTTTTTTCCTGTAAAATTTATTTTCTTGGAACATAGTCATTAGTTTTTAATTTTTTTAAGTTATGATAATTATATAGAAATAATAAATATATTTGTAGTCAGTATTTCCCTGCTTATTTCTTAAGCTACTTTTAATAAAAGAATGAATTTTAGCTTGGAACTTTGTGAATTTATCTTTCATTATAAAATTATTAAAAAATAGTTATTTCAACTAAGCTCACTGTTAATTATTGTAATTGTTATTATATTAAGTTTTTTTAGTTTCTTGAAAAAGATTGGATGACTCTTATTCTCCAATTATGTTTTTGAGAGTTTTCTTAGCTCATCACTGGTCAAAATTATTCAATTACAAGGATTCTTGAAATCCATAGCTATTTACATTAATGATATTGTAATAATTATTTTGTATTCCAATTGAAAATTTTTCTTTTTCGGATATTATTAAAGAGAAGTTATGGTAGTATTTTTAATGATTAAAAAAAGAGGGAACATAGGACAAAATTCTTTAACTGAAAGTTAAGAATTGCATAATAGAAATTTCAATACAAGTTGAAACTTTTTAGTTTGAGCAAACCAGATAAAATGAAGAAAATGCTATTGGCATTTTAGAAAAAATTTCTATACTTCATTTATTAATTGTTATAAAATCAAATACATTAGAGGATACTTGTTAAAGCAGCAGGATTTGTAAACACTAGATTAATTTGAAGAAAGATATTTTTAAAACATACTGAAATCATCATCATTGTATCTCCATCTTTCAATAAATTTATTTTTTTTTTATATTCCTATTTTTCCTTTTTCTAAGCCTTGCTATTGTATATATATTCTTTGCTCTCACATTACTATCTAACCTTTTATATATTTTATCTAATTTTATATGTATTCAGTAACTGTTTCCTTTCTTGTCTTCTTTTTTGCTACTTTGTATTCTAATTTACTACTATTCTTTCTAATTGCCTTCTGAATTTTTTTGCTCCATCACATCCTTATCTGTTTCATCTTATTTTTGTGATACCTAAAATAGTTTTTGTACATTTCTTTACCTTTGATATTACCAAATTCCACATTATTTCTGCTTTTCCTATGAAGTTTGTCTAACCTTTGTGTAGTTAAAAATAACAGTTCCAATATTTGAATTAAATATATCAATTATAATTATTGTAAAGTTATTATCTCATAAATTAATATAATTTAAATTAATTGTCACTTATTAAGGATCAATTTTTCTTTTATGTGATATATAGGAAATTTAATATAAAGGAACCCAAATGCTTAATTCAATTTTCAAAGTTGATGAAAATTCAAATAATTTGAAAATTTTTTATTTACAATATGAAGTTTTTTAAACATTTAAAAATAAATATTTATAATTTAATATTTAGAATAATTTTTAAGTTATATATTAAATAATT